GGTGTTCTGTAGTAACGCTGCACTGTTGCAGTTCTGATGGGATTATCCTAAAAGCCACATTGGATTCTAGTGGATTTCACTCTACACAGTAATCCTGTAGAGCGGGACTGGCCTAACTAACTCATTTATACTGTTTCTGTACGCCGGAGTATTTCCTGTTTATTCTCCAACCTAAATGATTGGAATGCTTCAATTTTCAGCATATAGAGTGAATACAGAGCAGTTATTGTAATAAATGTTTTATGCATGTGTTTCTGGTGCGGGTCTACCCCCCAAACAACACACATTTGTTTTATTTGCTGATGAAATGACTGAAATAAATGGGACTTTTGACAAATGCAGATTCGGTTATTTTGTTCTAATTTTGTTGAAGAAGTAAATCTTATACTCTGTGCCCCTGAATACAAAAACATCAACTCTGTGGAAATATCAGTTAAGTTACGTTTAGTTTTACTCAAAATATACACAGAAAACATAAATTAAATGTTAAAAATACATGTGGGGTGTGGTAGAAACGTGCAGTGGCTTATAAGAACACCACATCCAAATTTAACTAAAAAAGAATAAATACAAAACATACAAAATCTTCAATACAGGTTATATGTAAGTATGAAAGAGAAAACTGGACATGTGTGAGTGTGACTGAAAAGAATACAGAGAGAAGAATATATGCTATAAATACAGATGAATAACAGAATCCAAAAGAGGTAATTTTCATTGATAATGTTCAAACAGCAAAGCATTTATCTTACATGGACTCTGACACAGAGGAATCTAATAAGTGTTTGTTTAATTCCACAAGATGACCCCATGATATTTAAGAGAAAACTGACCACGATATGTTTTATAAAAAGGTAGATGAATATTCTCAGTCTGTCTATTGTTCGATATTTGTGGAATTGTTAGTTGTTGCCAAAATCTTATCTAAAACAACAATTTAACTTTGTATATTTCACTTTGAAAACAAATGCACATATTTGTAATATGTTAATATCAAAAGTCAAAAGAGAAGTGCACTTGGTGAAACAGCTTTGGAGAAAGTCTTTGCAGTAGCAGCAATATTTTATACATATATGTTGGAAAAGTCCAGTAGTAG